GAGCAGAATCACAGGTCACTTTTGAAAGCGACCCTTTTCCCACCCCAAGGAAACAGGGATCCTTAAAACCCTAGAATAAATCAGTCCTCCTCATAGTCCTTGGCACAACACGAATCCCCATGACACGCACTAACTTTGTCTGAGGACGCAGGCACCGCAAAATGTAAAATTAATACTACTCTCTCCACCTGGAGAATGACCTGCTTCTGACTCAATGGAGGAGGGTACCCCCAAGGTATCACCAGTGCGACTGAGATGGGGGGAGCCCCCTCCTAACCCCAGCCTTGCCTCTTCCACAGCCAGGTAAGTCATCCCAAACATAGCAGCAGTGGCACCTTCCTCATAAACCTGCTTGGCAGCCTCAGGACCAAGCTCCCTGGTACAACATCAGGCACGGAGTTAGGGCTTCTTTGACCATCAGACCACAGCTTTTCTGCTAGCCTTCACTGTTTTATGATGCAATGAAAAGGGTGGAGTTGTTTCTGGAGTCCTCAGGGGTGAATCCTGTTTGGTGGGGTTTTGGGGATTTGTCACTCTACTTCCAGGGCATCACCCTTCTCTTTCCTGGGCCAGTGGATTCCCCAGGAAGAAGTCAAAGGAATCCAAAGAGGCCTCTTTTCTCTCCTCATCCCTAACCATTACCCAAGTATGCATGTATTTCAGGAGAGATGTTTCTTTTCCAGGCTCAAAATCCTCCTGGATGAGTTAGACTGGTGTTCTCTAAGTGTAAGTTTGAACCAGCAGCTTCAGGACTATCAGGGAAGTTGTAAGAAATACAAGCTTTCAGGCTTCACCCCAGACCTACTGAATTGGCAACTAAGGGAATGGACCCCACAAATCTGCAGGTTAAAAACCCCTCTGAGTGACTGTAATTCCTGAGTGATCTAATCTAAATTTGGAGAACCCTCAGATTGGGTTGCCAGCCGCTTGTGGAGTATAAATTATGTAGGTTTTGCATCCTCAGAACATGAGCATGGTGATTGAGGCACAGAAGATGGGAACTGTCGCGGTGTACACACTGTGGACAGAGGGGGCCCGAACGGCGCCACCAGCCGTCCTACATCAACAGTGGCTATTCTGTGCTACATTCCCATCTTAGTTACTTCACTGTTGCTCATACAACATATCTGCCATCCGCAAGTTAAAGGAGGACATGTCTATTCTGGCTCACAGTTTATAGAGGTCTCAATACATTTGGCTGGTCTCAGGACATGGTGGCATGGCAGAGGGACACTGCAGAGGAAAAATGGTCCCTGGCATGGTGTTCAGGAAGGAGAAGGCTTACCTCTTCCTCTTTTATCCCTTCAAGGCTATCAGCCCCTTGCAGGCTGGGTCTTCTCTCTTCAGTAAATCCATCATCCACATCCAGACCTGTGCTAAAACCCTTGGTGAGCTAATCTAGTACCACACAGCCATGATTCAGTCCCGCCCCAAAGCAGGGCTCACAAGTGGCTGAGGCTGGGGGAAACCAGAAGGAACAGTGCCCATGGGCAATACCTGAGTGGAGGGTTTTCTCGGAGTCCTCCTAGCCTTTTGTCTTTCTCACTGTCTTTTACTTAACCATTCTGGTAAGTAATATAATTAAATCTCATCATGATCTGATTTCCCTGATGGCTAACGATGTTAAGCATCTTGTCACAAGGCTGATTTATCATGTTTGGCCTCTTCAGTAAGATTCTCATCTTTTGCCCATTTTCACTTGCATTGTTTGATTCTTTACTGTTGAAGGCTTTTGTTTGTATTTCTTATGTTATTGTTTTATTTGAGACAAGGTCAAACTACATAGTTCAGTCTGGCCTTAAACTCACTGTGTCACCTAGCCTGGTCTCAAACTCTCAGAGTCCTCCTTCCTCAGCCTTCCAACTGCTGGAATTATAGGTATGCTTCACCATGCCTGGCTTTACTGTTGAGCTTTTAAAGCTCATTATACATTCTTAATATTAGACCTCTGTTGGATATATGATTTTCCAATATTTTCTCCTATTTGAGTGTTTGTTTATAAGACAGACTACCTTTTTCTGCTTTAGTTAATACTAGCCTTATAAAATAAGTGGGTAATTGTCTCTTGCTCCTTTGTTTTCTGGAAGAGATTGTGTAAAATTGATGTTCCTGGGTCTTCAGATGGTTAGTAGAAATCTCCAGCAAAGTCACTGGCTGTGGATCCCAGTTCTGCTCCCATCGATACCAATGCAGGACTGAAGAGGAACAGGAAGTAACCTCTCCAATGTACAACCATAGAGCATCAGGGCTCCTCTTTGTAAGGTCACCAATGACTGTGGATCAAAAACAACTCATGATTTTGACATTTTTACCTAAATTACTTCTTTAAAGACACTATCTCCAAACAAGGTCACATCCTGACGTACTGGGAGGAAAGACTCCAACACTTCTTTTTTAATGAGTGTGTTGGGGATCACAAATTATAAACTGAGGCCAGAGCCAAGAGGCCTTATTGGTCCTTAAATGCTGTGAGCTCCAGGGTAAGATTACATCAGCATAGGATCACTGCTGCCCTCTGAGTCATCCAAACTGGTCCTCATGGGCATGAAATCCTCTTGTGTTTAAGGTCACTACTGCTCTCTGAACCATCCGATCATCCTTCCGATTACGGTGTGCAGCCAATGACAAGTGACTCACTGGCTCCGAGTGTCACTGTATCTGCCTATCTGACCTCCCAGGCCCCCTTTTATGAAGTACTAAATTTGTTTCTGTTTTTTCTTCATTCTTTTATTACACCCCCATCCAGGCAGATGGAGATCTTGGCCAGGCCCCCAATATGAGGGCAAACACAATTCAATTTATCATTTCTAAATCCAAGCAATGGGCAAGAAGAGCAGACTGGAAATTTGCCCCATAATCAGGTGACTGTTTTGTCAGCTTTCCTAGTGCTACCTGAGCAGGGACAAGAATTCCCTCATATCCAACTCCAACCCTGCCTGCCTGGGCCCCAAGACTTTTTAAAATGGACTCTGAATGTCCCTTCAAGCTCCTCAAGTTGTGAGTATGAGAGTACAGGCTACATGCTCACCAGGGCTAGCACAGAGTGTGAGGAAGAGGCACACACAGCCAAGGAATGAGCATTTGCCTACCGTCAGGGTTAGGCACAAAGCTGGTACTGTCTCTCAAGGGTCTGTCAGTGCCTAAGGGACCACTAGGGCAAGCCCTTGTCTCACAGGCAAAGAACAATCACCAACCAGGAAGAGTATCACAACTTGCGCAAGTTGTAAAGTGAGGTAAAAACTACCTGTCAATCCCTGTGTGATTCCTCGGTCCGGGGCTGAGCATGTAGTTGAGAAAAAGTACAGGGAAGGGGATGGTACCTGGACCTCCACAATAAGTTCTGGGGTCCATGCAGTCACATCTCAATTTGGCAATGAGATAGATATTTTAGAAATAGAACTGAATCTTCTACACCAAAGAGTGCTGATTTTACAAAAGTAGGAAGTTACAGGCTGAGAGCACATTAAAAGAGCTGCTACCCAGCAGGAAACAGAAACTTCATAGATCAAAACTGAGCAAAATGACTGGAAAAAAAAATGAAATGATGTCAAGCTTGCTCTTCATTGAGCCAAGACTCATAACAGTGGAGAATGTCAGGTGCACACATCATAGAACTGCGACAGAGTCCATTTCAGACCCTGCTGTTTTGCCTAGTGGGTTAGCGTAGACAATTTCCCCTCTCATTAGTTATTCTTCAGAAATATGACTTTTTAATGACTACAGTGTCTAAAGGCAGTTGATCTCACATGTAATTCATACCTTTACTTGAGCTATTTTTTGTTTGATACCAGTTTTTAAACTAACACCAAATTCCTGATGTAAAAATAACAAGCTTATTAATGTATCTGTGAATAAGTGTGATCATCATAATAAATAGAAACCAAGAATTAATTTTTCTACCATTGTAAGTGTGTATGTTCTATCCTAGATGTCCCTTGACATTCTTTCACAGCATGGTAAGTACGATGATAGGAGAAAATAGTTTAAAGCAATTAAGCCCTAAACTAGCTGAAAAGTAGTTAGGTTTAGAATAAAATATAAAAATGATATAATTGCAGCACAGTTTTCACTGGTATCTGATGTGGGTTGTGGATGATTTTCCATACTCAAGTAGCAGCATGGAGTGAAATCCTGACAAATGGCTGCTCTACGTCACTGCACTTTAAGCTGAGATCAGAGCAAATACTTGGAAGAGCGAGGCTTGGAGCTCTTCTGTCATGCTCAGCAAGTGGCCTGCCTTCGCCTTTTGCCAGTAGAAGGTCTGCCTGCTACAGAAATCTACCCTGTGGCTTGCAGTAAGTGTCACAGTCTTCATGAGTTCTGTCCCATGAGGCCACCCATTGGCCACCAGTGTGGTAGAGAAAGAGTAGCCCAAGGATAAAATAAAGACTCAAAAACTTCAGAGAAGATGTGGGAATATAAATTTGCTAACCTTCTATTTCCATCAACAAGGAAAGAATGAGAGAAAAGTGAAAACAAAACAAAACAAAGCAAGATGGTGGAAGCTCAGAGGCGCACCTTGTGGGTCTGGGCAATGCCTGTTCCCGCTGGCAGAAGGCCACAGCACACTGCTGGCAACACTATGAGCACAGGATGAGGCCAAGGCACAAGATCAGTGCTCCCTTTCCACAGCATGAGGGTTATTAGTAAAGCTTTAGGTTTTCATGTACTGTCCAGGTACACACCACCCAAATACAGCAGCTACAGAACTGTCAAGAAAGCCTAACTTTGCAGAGAGGGAAAAAATTGACATCACTGACCCATTTTAAATACATTTCAAGATACATTAGGAAATGTTAAGACACTTAGGGGTGTGTGTGTGTGTGTGTGTGTGTGTGTGTGTGTAAATATTCTGAGAGGAGACCAACAGCTAGTATGTTTTACCTATAGGAGAAATAGTAAGTAACAAGATGGTAGTTTTAACTAAAAGCTGTCTCGCTGTAATGCTTCACTTTAATCATTTGTCCCCGAAGCACCTGGGAGCTGGGACCCCTTCCTACCTGTGCTGGAGTTGCTACTGGGGCTGGCCAGCAGGAGCCCTGAGCCCTGGGCTGTGGGCACGGGCTGCCCATTGCTCAGCTGCTTGACCCGTTTGCGGTGGGATTTGCCGTTGTAATGGACCTGCGCCTGGGCTGCGGAGTTCAGCTGGATGTTGCACACGTCACAAAAAGAGAACAGAATTTTCCTTTTCTCTTCACTTAGCTGGTCTTCAGGCCTGTCGTTCTTTATCCCTTTTTCTTCAAAGCCCCGTAGAAAAGTTGCCATATTCATAATTCCATCTTCAAGGTAGTTGCTAGGGCTTAAGGAATACTCTGTACCTGGAAAACAAAACAAAACGTTATAGGTGCTTGTAAATTCATACACACTTATTTTCTAGTATGATTACAATTAATTTTTAATGGTTTGATGTAGCTAGATGTCCCCCAGCCACTTAATGGTCGCTCTTGGAAAAAGTCTTCAGAAGTACATGACTGAGCACATTGGTTTTGAATAGGAGCCCCCTTATCTGGAGTGCTTTGTACCCGTCCTTGTTCTCCATGGTTCACCCTTTATCTGCTTTGCTCTTTATACTCCTGGCTGCCTGTGAGCTCTCAACTAGCACATTGCCTTCTAGTTATGGTTTATATGTAGCTGTCCCCCCAAAGCCACCTGTGCTCATAGGTGGGGTTTTTGAGCTGCCTGGATCTAGGCTGTGTGATCCTAGGACTAAGGGTATAGGGCACTAAATTAGTCCACCCACTGAAATTAGCATAGTTCTACGTGTGGATCATGGAAGCCCCACCCTGGCTGTGTGTGGCAACAATCAGTAGGCTTGTAGCCTGGATGGAACATAAGGGGACAGAGAGAAGGTTGGGTAGTGACTGCTGCTGCTCACTGCCTTCTGCCTGCCATGCCATGAGCTGTTTCTCCTCTACAGTGGACCTCTGTTCTGCCACCCCGCTTTGGAGCTAGTAAGCTACAGACTAAAACATCTGCAAACTGTGAGCCAAAATAAACCTTTCCTCCTTTAACTTGTGGGTGTCAGTATTTTGTCTCAGCAACAAGAAAAATAGCTAAGACATTTCTCCAAGGGACCCTCTCTGACTCTAAAAAGAAGACGGGCCGGTGTATGCCACATGATTGTGTCTCACAGCACCTACCAAAGTATGCATTTAATATGTATTTGTGCAATTATTTGTTGATGATGGGTTTCTAATTAAAGTATAAACTTTGTAAGAGCAGTAACTTCATCCTGGGATATTTCTTAGGCCTACTACTCTACCTTTTACATAACACTTAGCTATTGCAGGAGGAAATGAATAGATGTTCATTTATTGTATTGTGCAAAAGTATCCTGTGTGTATAGATGTGAATACACATACAATGGGCACACATCTGTATATACACAAACAGACACACACCTTAACAGGGAAAGAATAATGCCAAGACACAGTGTTTCTGCAACTTACATTGGGTTGTATTTCTTTATAAATCAGCCAGTGGGAATTCACACATATTTTCTGATTGATGTAATGAAACAATTTGGTTTTGGGTTCCTAGATTAGCCCACAGACATCAACTTAATCTTTGATAAACTTGAAATGTACAGCATCTGAAATACAAAATAACATAAATACAATATGATAATTAATTTATTTTTTAATTTTATTTTTTATTCATTTTGATGAGAAAAAAGATAAAATACTAATGAAACAGTCCCAAAACAAGTTAGTAGGGCAGTTATAATAATTAACACGTTGCATGTTGTTGTCTTCATAGTAGTTATTCAGAGGACAAGATGCAGACATGATATTTTGTCTAAACAATATTAGTACAAACTTTCTTGTCAAAAACTAAAAGAAAGTAGCTGCATATCTATCCTAACTATCTTGTGCATACATATACTTTTACTTTTTTTTCTTGCAACAAAAAGGTCCTTTATTTGTACTTTTGCAAAGTTAGTAACACATGACACAAGGTTGCCTAGCGACTAATAGCTGACCTTAACCAGGCCCAGATGTTTATCTCAGGACTGAGGTAGCTTGTTAGTTTTAGGCACTGAGACCTAGTCCCACCTACACACATTTGATCAATTTCCTAGCTTCCTTGGCTTCCAACATATCCCCCTTTTTCATTTTGTTTTGTCAGAGATGGGTGCTCCATTGCAGCTAGAGATGTTATATTTGGAGAAGACTTCAAAGGACCTTTTCATACTTCATGCCAGTCCAAAGATTGTAGGTACTTAAATTCAGCAAAATTACTCAATATAGTCCAATAGTTCAAATCCACTGGCACCCAAAAAAGAGTAAAAAGTCAGACATAATTCTAAGTGCTATTTTCTTCTTCATTTATTTAGATAAGGGTATAGGGATCTTTCTAAGATTCCAAAGGGGATTTTGCAGTACCTTTAGACCCATAAATGATGGCAACTACTTTGGCTTTTTTGTTGTTGTTGTTGTTCAGTTATACTTTAAAATCAGTGAGTTTCCATTTTAGCTAACTCCAGGTAACCAGTATTTTCATATTATCAGTGTGACTATAACCATCTTGGGGGTTCTCAACTTAAGTAGAGAAAATTCTCCAAGTAGACAGGGATAAGCAATAAGATAACAATGAAAGGAATAGATCCACCCAACCCCAGGCCCTGTGAGTGTGTGGGAGAACTTCTGCTCTGTCCTACACCTGCCAACCCAAGCCCAGGCCCAAGCTGAGGCCTGCTGTGTGAGAGAGGCCTTTACCAGCGTTCTCCAAACCTCCCCCACCCGTCCAGAGACAGCACAACCCGCCCTCTGAGTGAGCACTTCCACCACGTTCTTGGGAGTCCTGTAGACCCACCAAAGCCCAGTGAGTGTGTGGGAGAGCTTCTGCACTCTCCTGCCCCCTATACCCCTCCAGACCCAGCCCAGGACTGGCATACAGGTCTGGGGTGAAACCCTACAGCTAAAGTCCCTGCAGTGAGACTAGGGTCAAAACCACACAGCTAATCCAAGAATAGAACATCTTGCCAGAGGGGCACAGTGGAACCACCTCCAAGGGCAAAAGCAAGGAGCTGAGCACAGTAGTCAGACCCAAGCCAGGCACACCTGCATGAATCAGAACTTGGTATATCAGTACCTGAATTTCATTAGGTGATAAGGATATAACTGCACTAAAACTCTACACCAAAGGTCATAGGTCAGAGCTATAAGAAATGATAAAGACAAGGAGGAAAATGCAACCTCAGGGCTCGAGCCCACCCATAACAAGTGCAGAGGACACTAGCTCAGATGAAATGTATGAATAAATAGCGTCGGAAGCAAAAAAACAACAGCAGAAAGGTATAGAGCAACACAGAGCAGAATTAATTTCTGAAGCAAAAAAGAAATCTCTGAATTCATAGCATCTGAACTAAAGAATCAAATGCAGAAACATATGGAGGAAACACAATGCCCATCCAGAACAAATGCAGAAGACACTAGCTCAGTTGAAATGTATGAATTAATAGCACTGGAAGTAAATAAGCAACAGCAGAAAGGTATAAAGGAACTCAGAGCAGAATTAATTTCTGAAATAAAAAAAGAAATGTTTGAATTCATACCATCTGAACTAAAGAATCAAATGCAGAAACATATGGAAGAAACCCAATCTGAAAAAACTCTGCAGTAAAAGAATTCATAACTGCTTCTAAAGAAGACATGGATAAAAAAAAATACAGGAGATTAAAAAATGATGGATTCCTTAAATGAGCAATACAGGAAAGAAATAGATC